TATGTTTAAAACATTTCACCTCATTTCACTTCAATACTCAATTAAACTCAACTCGGTTCAGCTCAGCCCACCTCAACTACCCTTAATTTAAAAGGGTGAATTTCAACCGCTGGGCGAACAGTAAGTAAAAATGTTCAATAAATGAAATGAATGAAGTATGTATGCTGTATATTTATTGGTTCCAACGGCGATGAAGGCGACCCACAGTTTTTCAACTACATATGTATATGGAGGCAGGTGGAAAAACTTGTTGCGCTTAAAGAGGGAAAATTAAAAAAATTTGAATACAACAATTTTCTTCATTTATATATAGTATATATTTGGATACAGATATATGTAATTTTCGATTCACTTACTTAAAATTAACCAAAATTCTATTTTTTTTTTATAAAACAGAGAGTAGAAATCGGATGAAATTTTATGTTTCCACCCATAAGAGTGAAGGGTTTTTAAATTATCTCATCTTCACCATATTTCATTAATCCTTTTCGTAAGAAACATTAGAGCACATGCCAAGTTTGGCGTAAAACAATCTCAAATTAGAAGTTGTTCAGAAAAGCTGACATTGAGATCTACCACTTGTTTGAGCATCTATCACATCTACCACTCAAGGTCTGAAATCTACCACATATTCGAGTTTTTGTGTAGTTTTACTTTTGCTTGGCATAAGTTTCTTAATTTAATATGGAAGGAACTGCTTTACACTGTCAAGGAAAAAAAATGCCAACACTCAACGCAATTTTTAGCAACTTCAAGCTTGCACTTTATTATAGTAAAATTAAACTTTTTTTAGATGCTAATTAAAAAGTTTGCAATTTAGGTGAAACCTTGCAGATTTTTTTATAAATTTTTGTACAAGGTTTGATCCAAACCCAGAGATCTACCACATTTTCTTCCAGATTCTACCACACAGAATTTTTTTTAAGTCCGATTACTGCATGGAGCCTCTTGAATTATGAATTCGGAGATAGGTCACACTTTGCTCAAAGATGACGGCAGTATTGCAAAGAAGGCCTTGGAATAGAACCCGCTAGTTGGCAGAAGCAGGCCTCGCGAAACATGGGGAAGAAAAGTCGACCGAGTGGCGAAGAAACTCGAGTTAAGCTGGAAGTAGTTCAAAGCAATTGCCACAAACAGAACCAGATGGCGCGCAGGCGTAGTCGATGCCGTATGTCCTGCTTGGAATTAAAAGAAAATGAAGAAGCTTAACGGATCTGTAAGGTGTTGTTGGGGCAAATGACCACAGTCTAAGTCGAAGCCAGTTGCCCGAGCTGTCAATAAGTGCCTATGTATGCATGTGTGTATGTATGCTTGCAATTGTTATTTGTTTGCTGTCATTCGTCTGAGCGCACCCATTGTGAGCGCCAAGTAAACACTCAAACATATACGAGTTTATGTTCATACAGATGTACATTAGTCCACACGACCTTACAAGCAAATAAAAGCAGCATCCCTGGGTCAAAAGCAAGGCTTCGGAGCAAAGGTTTTTGTCATCGCTCCGCTCTGGTATTTTG